CGGGTTGTCCCTTAGCCAGCTTGCACCTCTTCAATCTGGACCCTCAAGGGATGTCGACTGCCCATTTAAGCCCGATCTCTGTGAGGACAGTCGACATCCCTCTCACAATCCAGGACTGCTGGCTCCCAACCACTCGCCTGCCTGCCTACCTGATTGCCCCTAACTGCTTCTGCCTGCAGCCTGATCACCCCTAACCGCTCCCCTGCCAGCCTGATCAACACCTAACTGTTCCCCTGCTGGCCCGATCACCCCCAACTGCCCTCCCCTGTAGGCCTGGTCACCCCCAAAGGCCCTCCCTTGCCGGCCTGGTCGCCCCCAACTACCCTCCACTGCCAGCCCAATCGCCCCCAACTGCCCTCCCCTACAGACCTGGCCCCCCCCGAACAGCTCTCCCCTGTTGGCCTGGTCGCCCCCACTGCCCTCCCCTGCTGTCCCAGTCACACCTAACTGCCCTCCCCTACAGACCTGGTTCCCCCCCAACAGCCCTCCCCTGCCGGTCTGGCTGCCCCTAACTGCCCTCCCTTGCAGACCTGGTCCCCCCCCCAATTGCCCTCCCCTACCAGCCATCTTGTGGCCATCTTTGACCACATGGGGGGCAACCATCTTGTGTGTTGGAGTGATGGTCAATTTGCATACTGGTCATGAGTAATTAGCATATCTGGGCTAATTAGCATATCCCTCTCTTATTATATAGGATTAGAAAACTGGCTGGCTGTAGAACAAATTTGTAAAAGAATATTTAAAGCTCTTTAGTGTTTGTTATTACTATTTCTTATTTATTTTATTTTGTTTTTGTTAATGCTCACCCAAGGATATTTTTCCCATTGATTTTTAGAGAGTGGAAGGGAGGAAGGGGTTGTGGGGGGGGGGGGGGGAGAAAGAAACATCAATGTGAGCGACACATGGCTTGGTTGCCTCCTGCATACACTCTGATCAGGGCTGGGGATTGAACCTGCAACCCAGGTATGTGTCCTTGACCAGGAATCAAACCTGCATGCGACCCTTTGGTGTACGGGCCAGTGCTCTAACCATTGAGCACACAGACCAGGGCTGTTATTATTTTTAATTTGAATACTTTTACAGAGGGTTGTACTCTTGTATTTGCCACAATCCCTACCACTCCCTATTATCTTACACATAGCCCACACATATAGACATTTGAGTTTTAAACCTTAGATTGTAGAAGAAAAAAAGCTAGAATCTAAATTCATCAACATATTTTCTATGGAATATCTATAGAATTAATCATTAGATACACAGTTTGTGAAGAACATGTCAGAGAGACAATATCCCTGCTTAAAAGAAGCAAAAATTGCCTTGAAAAGAAGTTACACAATATTATTTATTGTTTTTAAGAGTAAAAGTGGTAAAAATCCACTGTTCCTTTCCAATTGGTTCAGAGCGTTCATTTTGTTTTAGAAAGTAAATGACTTGAGACATACTCCAACTCTAGGGAAATGATTATGAGAGATGGGGAGAGGGCTGGCTTTGATATTGATAAATGAAGTTTATGACATATAAACCATTTCACAGAACATGAAAACAGACAGCAAATACTGCTTTGGTCTTTTTGGCCTTGGAATCACATCCTTGGTTAGGAAATATGAATCATGGCACTAAGGCATACCATGACATAAAAAGGGATTTAACAAAGGATTTATGGTTGTAGCTTTGCTTTTTGACAGTGGACATATTTCTGAAATTTATTTATAAACTGACATAAAAGGTCACGTTTTTATTATGCTACAAGTGCTTCTCTTTATAAAAGAAAATTGTGGCATAAAGAGAGCCCTCTGCTTTACTTTTTTTTTTGTAACTTAAAGGGATCTTTTTTTTTTTTTTTAGCACAATGACACAGATTGCAGTGGTACTTTCTATGAACAAACTGGAAGGGAATGAGTATAGGAAGCCAAAATCATCTTCATTCCAAATATTAATTTGATTTTAAATCAATTCCAAAGTAAATTAGAAAGTCCTATTTTTCTCGTGTCAACTAATCCTCACAAGAATATTGTGCTTTCAGGGAAATATGAATTTTTAATGGGGTTTCATGCAGATTTAAAAAAATGTATGTTTTCAAATGAATGAATATCTAATGGTGGAGTTTTGGGTGGTGGAGGAAATGTTTTGGGTATCAGGGAACCCTTCTTTAACTTAGAACAATATTTTCTGAGTTGTGTTAGTGTGCATGGAGAATAAAGTTTATGACGCTTTTCTTTTTCATCTTTTCAGTGAAAGAAAAACCTATAATAACACATTGCCCTTTTTTTCAACCTAGACCCTAGGTGTTTAGAAGACCTAAAGCCTGGAAACTGTGCTGAATATGTGGTCCGATGGTATTATGACCAACAGGTCAACTCTTGTGCCCGCTTTTGGTTCAGTGGCTGTAATGGCTCAGGAAATAGATTCAACAGTGAAAAGGAATGTCAAGAAATCTGCATTCAAAGATGAGCAAGTAGGTCAACCTGTAATGAGTCAAATCTACATCTCTATCAACAAGTCTAGAAAGAACCACTATAATTTCAGCATGTTCACCCAATACGAATAAAGCACCATGTTTGATTGTATACTGAGTATTTGGAATTTATAAACATAATTGAATCCTTGCATCCACACTGGGATGTAGGTGTTAACCATTTTTACAGATAAAGAAGCTGAGGCTCTGACTTTAGTAACTTGTCAATAGTCACCCAACTAACAAATGGCAGGCTGAGGGTTTGGCTTAGAGCTGTGCAAACTCAATACGTAGGCCTTAGTATCTACTTCACAACCTGCAATGTGGTTCTGATTCCTGTTCCTTCCTATTCAATGTATTGTGTTGGATTAAACTCCTTCCCCAGCCTAGCCCCCTGTTCCTCCTGGCCCCCTGGTCCCTTCTACCCACTTCAGTCCCCCAAACCTCTCACAGCCCTGACAGTAGCAAAAAGATAGGTAGTTGGTAGGGAAGGACTAGAGTTTGGGAATCAGGAGTGATGGGAGTAGGTAGGAAGGGATGAGATCAGAAATATATCCTGCTTGAAAGAAACCTAGAACATGAAATGGTTCTGAGATGAGAGGTATTGGGATAGGAGCTGGAGTGGTGGTTAGATTTTTGCCTCACTTGCTCTGAAACTGAGTAAGAAACCAATCTGAAATAAAATGACTTAACACAAATGGATTAACAACTGTCACTCCGCACTCCTCCAACATATTTGGTGACAAACCGTTATTGTGTGTTTAAACTATATATTGAAAACAAAAAGTGTAATTTAAAGGAAGGAACTTTTCTCACCCTTCCTTTAAAATATGTAAATGTGACTTTCAACTTTAGGGGGATGGGAAAAGAAGACACTTGACAGCCAAGAACTACTTAAAACTTACATCCGCACTCTGTTTTTTTTATTGTTTAAAGTATTACATGTCTCCTTTTTTCTCCGATTACCCACCCCCCGCCACTCCTACCCCCAGTGTCTGTGTCCACTGGTCATGCTAATATGCATTCACATCCTCTCTTGAGCAGGGTATTGTAAAGATAGGTCTTAGGCTGAAAAATGAGCCGCCAAATTGAAATATGACCCAACAGAGTAATAGAGAATTGGCTCTGTCATTTTATAATAATTTTTCGACATCCAGTCTAGGAAGATCAGTTCTGAGCTCAGCTCAGACAGCACTTGTATATATATCATCTCACAGCACCCTTTCTTTTTCAGGCCTGTGACCCTCATTCAAGGTCAGTGGTACAAAAAAAAAAAGCATTCAAAGAAGGAGGTGCTGAAGAACAGCCATCTTAGCAAAACTAATTTTGGGTAGTTTGATAAAATTTTCGATGTAATATTTAATACTACAAAAGAATATATGTGATACACTTGTAAGTAAAAATGTGATAAGATGAATATTTCACACAGAGAACGACCAAACATGACCCATTCAGTTGAAGCTTCCTGTGTAAACCTCTACCATCCTAGCTCCCTATTTTCTGCCAGGGATATTTCATCTTGAATTTTGTGTTTACCATGTCACTTTGCTATTGGCTTTTATATATAATTTTACGTGTAAAACCACATATATCTCTATGTATCTCTAAACAATACACAGTCTTGCTTATCTTAGGACTTTATAAAAATGGTGTCATACTCTAGTTTTTGCAACTTGCTATCTTCATTCAATATTATAATTAATCCATGTCTTACCATATTGTGTTCCTAAAAATATCTAAATGTGTTTCTAAGAATTTATTACTTAGGTTTTTTAAGGTTTACAAAATTTGTTTTATAATATATAATTCTTTGCAACTTGGTGTGCTATTACATTATAATTCATACACATTCATTTACTTTTATAGTTGTATAATATTTGTGTGAACATATCACAACATATTTAACCACTGTCCTGTCTATAGTCAATTAAATAGTTTCTATTTATTTATTTACTTTTTACCATTTCAGCAACATTGAAATGAATGCTCCTATACATGGTTTTGGGTGCACATGCAACAGTATTTTTCTAGGACCTATACCTAAAAATGAAATTGCTGGGTTGCAGAATATGTAAACATTCGAAAATAATATATCATAGCAAGCCAATTTTTTCCCCAAGGTGTTTGAACCAGTTCACAGTGTGCATAAGAGTTTCCATTGCTTGATATTCTTATCAACACAAGTATTGTCAGACTTCTTTTGCTAATACTGGGTAGAAAATGGTATCTTTTTGTTGTTGTTGTTGTTATTGACAGTATTACAGATGTCCCCGATTTTTTCACCACTCCACTATAGACCTTTACCCCACTATTGTCTGTGTCCATGGGCTATGCCTGTATGCATATAAGTTCTCTGGTTAATCTCTTCTCTCCCCACCCACTTCCCACTGAGATTCATCAGTCTATTCCATGCATCCATGTCTATAGATCTATTTTGTTCATCAGTTTATTTTGTTCATTAGATTCCACATATAAATGGGATGGGTCTTTGTCCCTTTGCCTGAAACATCCTTTTCCTCCTTCTGTGATGACCAAATCCTAATACTTCAAGGACAACTTGCAGGCCTCCCTTCTCCTTTGTGGTACTTTTCATCAGCTGGGC